AAGAAGGCTGATTTATAAATAAAGAAAAGCGAAAATAAAGTAAATTAATATAAATAAAGTCGGTTCAAAAGTACCTAGTATTACACTTACCCCCAGACGAGACATGTTGGATGATATTTAACAAGATCTAATTACTGACTGACTTCTGAAGAATGCAAGTGCCCTTTTATAGTACTTTCCAACATAAACAAATGTTCTACTTATTTCCACTTGCGTCACTTGTAATGGATCGAAGCAGAAAAAACTAGTAATTGCGGACATTTATTACAATGGATTGTATAGGATACGCGTCTCTCCATAGCATTGTCAATCAAGATTCTTATGAGCAATTATTCAATTATAATCTTTCGTATCTAGCATACGAATCTAGGTGTCATCTTTACACACATTCTTTCATCCAGGTAAATAAAATCAGTCTCTGAAATGTTTACTCGTACATAAATCTCTAATGACTGCACTAAATTAGATGAATATTGTTGTGCTCTCAAAGAGACAGACCTCTGAGTTTGTTTCGGCATTTCTTCTCAGAGTAGTCAGTTAGGAAATGTCGGCCTCATCGTTTGCTTGATTAAATTGACGTGTAAAAGTGCTGTCCTTTTTTTAGGGGGGAAAATCATCGAATGACTGCTCCCGCCTGGGTGAGGCGGGAGGGAGTGTCAGACTCTTACTGACTAAAAACCACCCCGTTCCTTCTCCTGCACGTCGAGGCGGAGCCCCGGTTACCCTTTAGGTTCTCCGCGACTCCGAAAAAAGTGCTATCTTGTACCCCATTTGCAGAAATAAATTCACTTGTTTCTATTCAGTTAGGCTATTCTGTAACTTTCAATTCGTAAGGACGAAGTGAACTCGACCGCGGCCCACCATGTCAGAATAATCGACCAATGTCGGGCGAGAATACGATCGAGCTCACTTTGAATAATGAATCTTTAAAATTAATAGTTTCAGAATAGTAGCTGTTGTCGGGACATGGTTTGTATAAAATAAAAAAGTGACAAATCGTCCAGGAAATGGAATAGATTTTTCGGTCAAAGAGTCATGGCTTGCCAGTTGCCAGTTGCAGTAGGTATAATAACATATAACAAGAAGCACTGTTACGGCTTGCACGTTTTTCTAACATTCCTGCAGCTGTAGCCAAATGCCATTTAGCGCCTGTCTACATGTGGAATAGAAAACCAAATTATATGGAATTGACGTAAATTTTGACACTTGTCAGTAAACATTTTTTTTTAAACTTTGCCCCACACTAGCATTTTCTCCTGTGTCGTGGGTGCGTTTACAAACATACAAGTTCACATACACATGACACCCAGACCCGGAACAACAATCTGTGGATCACACAAAGAGTTGTTCCGTGCAGGAATCGAACCCGCGACACGTTGCGCGGCAGTTAGTTGCCCAACCACCGCCCCAACCATGCAGTCAGTGTCATCCCCATACATTTTGATTTCTACTCTCTCTGTCGACAAGCGCAAAAGTGGCGTTTGGCTAAAGGCACTGATGTTACAGCATGTTCAGTCCTTCATCACTGCACCATATCTATCGAAACATGGGTGCATTTTATGGCTGCAAGAGAACATTAGGGAATTAAAAAAAATCGGATAAGGTCACCGGTTTGTCACAGATAATAAATAATCAACGGTATAAATAAAAAACAATGCACTGTGTATTTATTTTACAATTTTGTTAATTTCAAGACAGCAAAAACAATTATATATTTGAACAATTCGGAAACATATTTATTTAGGTAATAGAGGACAAAGGTAAATTAAAATTAGGTTTCTGGGAACACTTCTGTTGTTAAATTGCTCATTTGCGGCCGCGAGCGTCGGGGGTCTCGTCTGAAAAATAAAAGTAAGCATTATTAAACATCGGAGAGCCCTTTCTGGGGCATCACATAGTGTTACGATTTGTTGCACAACTATAGTATTTACAGAGCAACCAAAATAAACACTAGCAGAGGTGGATTAAACTCCCTTTCAATGGTCCCATGTATGTCTAGTCGTTATAATCCTCCAATATTCGAATTCAAATTTCCTCAACGAGGTATAGGCAGTATTCCTTTATTATGCATGCAAGCAGAGACTTAACCCGTCGAGCGTCCGCGTTCCTTATGATCCAACGGGTGCACACGTGACATTTGGAGCAATTTTTTCTTATGATCCACCGGGTGCTCATAAGGACGCTCAAGGGGTTAAACAACCTGTGTAAAGAGTATTCAATAGATCCATTTGTAACGAGGACTTTTGCGGTTCGAATAATGTTGATTATGATGATCCTACAGTTTTTAAATTCATTGGTCAATTGTGTAACTTAGTTGATTATTAATTTGTTATTGTTCGTAGTTTGGTCGGTGTGTGTTCTTTTAGTAATGTCCTATGAAGGAATTGGTATGTGCTCTTGTTGTTTATTTTGTTGTAAATATTTTTTTTATTATGGATGTATTTGTCTAGATAGTGAGTGTTTTTACTAATTGAATAATAGTATACTTAGTAATATTTATTTTATTTATTTATTATAACACCTTAAAATATGACATCTTACAGTTTATTCCAATGCAATATCATATTCCCTGACATATTTAAGTCCAACACGTAACTTAATTAATAATAGTATACTTTAATTCAAGAATAATTCAATTTGAAACAAGATAGCCAGTTTGTAGTTATAACATACAATGTTTAGATGTTAACAAAGCGTTGGACATTGTGTAGCGTTATGACTCCGTTATAATATAATAATAATAAATAATACATGTTTATTCATAATAACATAACTTAACATAACATCACGCCTTTTTATCCCCGAAGGGGTAGGCAGAGGTGCACATTATGATACCACTGTACAATGTAACACCCACTTTTCACTATTTATGTTATGAGTCCCATGTAATAGAGGGTGAGCCTATTGCCATATACCGGGCACAATTCCAGACTCCGTGCTACTACTGAGAATATGTAAAAACCCAGTAATACTTTGCCCGACCCGGGAATCGAACCTGAGTCCCCTTGCCCGGCAGTCGCACTTACGACCACTCGGCCAACGAGGCAGTCATAATAACACATGTTTATTCATAATAACACTGGTCAATATAGGTAGTTATGCGTAGCCAACCCTTACCTCGCTTAGTAACAGTCAACTAACATCACACCATGCCACCCAGCAGTTCCAGGTAGCCTCTAGACTCGAGTGTCTAATGGCCAATTCTCATAAAATTAATGTTTGTCAAAACAGTTAAAGAAATTAGATCGACAGATCCCTGTTGCTGGCCAACTGCGAGGTCCAGCCACAGACACACACATGTAAAGCTTTTCAGTAGTATATAAGTCCATATAATCTTAGTTCAGATGTTCTTTTGTTCATTATCATCTTAAAGCTCATGCTGAGCACACGTGTAATTAATAAATAAATATTTTTTAATACAAATCTTGCGCGTTCATTTTTGACTAGGTACAAAACAATGTAATATCTAATGTGATTTTGCCACTATTAGTTTGCCGTGTGTAGCTGTTGGTTTTGGTTTTCCAATAGATAAATAAATAAACCTAGAGAGCGTCCTAGGTACGCACCTTTTAGGGAACAGAGAGTAAGTACCCTAATATCGGAAAAAGGAGGCTACTCCGACTAGACAAGGGCTTTCTGCCCAACAGTTCTTCATTGGGATTTTCTATCCACGTTCATTCGCATGTTAACTTCACATGTGCGATGTAGGATTTCGTGACGTCATCCGTTGATTTGTTGATTTCATCTATGTGTGTGAGCTGTCATTTGACATGGCTCGCCATAACCTCATTGGCCTAATGGTTTTGGTGCCGCTGCCACTCTATACAGTTGGGCACGCGTCTCGCGGCACACATCTGTAACCTGGTGCTCTATGCAGCCTTAGACATACGGCTCTGAACACTATAGTTGATTAAGTCACCGGTACTATGTTAGTTGTAAAACCAAGTTGAATAGTAAGTCGAGGGTAAGATATCGTCCTACAACTGCAATTTTGTTGCTTGCTACATGATCGTACGATCATACATATAAAATGTTAACTTTGTAAGAATATTCGATAAATTTATGAACCTGAATCTAGATTTGCAAATACGAAGAAAGAAAATTAATGATAAGGACATTAAAATTTGTGATTGTATCAAAGAAAATTGTAGGTTTTATATTTAAATATTGTATATTTATATCTACTATATAAAAATAAGTTAGGTTTTCCTTCCTGACGCTATAACTCCAGAACGCACGAACCGATTTTCACGGTTTTGCATTCGTTGGAAAGGTTCCATGAGGTTTAGAGCAAAGATAATTCACTAATCAAAAAACGATTTATAGTTGTATATGTACTTAAATATAGAAAATAGAAAGCATAATTGGCTAAACAATCCATTCTTACAAAGATTTGATGCGAATTATTAATAATGAGAGAGAATCGCAAAATATGTCGTTACAAGCAAAACTACAAAATACCTGACCTAAATCGGACGATCTCATTATACTATGCCTATTTATGTAACTTCTAAAATTTAGAGGAACAAGTTCCAATGGAAAAAAACCGGATAAAGGACTAGGAATGTCAGAAAATCGACTCTGGATGGATACACAATAGACAACACGGTTTGACTGCACGGTTGGTGCGGTGGCTGGGCAACCGGCTGCCGTGCAACGTGTCGCGGGTTCGATTCCCGCACGGAACAACACTTTGTGTGATCCACAAATTGTTGTTTCGGGTCTGGGTGTCATGTGTATCTGAACTTGTATGTTTGTAAACGCACCTACGACACAGGAGACAATCCTAGTGTGGGGCAACGTTTTATTAAAAAATAAAAAATAAAAATAAACAATAAAAGTCGGAAATAGAAAAATAGGTGAATACAGTTTATTTACACAATTTTGTTAAACAGAAGACAACCAAATTTATTGAAAGTACAATGACAATACTGTACAAGAAAAGATTGACGTTTTATCAGAAGTAAGAAGAGTGAAGTGCATTTTTCTTATTTAGTGGTTCATTTGCCGCCGCGAGCGTAGGGGTTGTCGTCTGTAAACATATATTTATATGAATTAGATTATATCAAAAACAATAAAGTAGATAATATAATAGGTTCTGGTAGCAGCTGGGCCTATTACTAACCTATGCGTTTTTTCATATTATCATCTACCTCTGTATTAAATTCTCCGTTTTTTTCATTAATGTTTATGTGAAAGAATAATGTTATTCTTTATATGAATATATTTATGTAAATATATTCATATAAAATATAAAGAATAACATAAAAATATTCGACTGCACGGTTGGTACGGTGGCTGGGCAACCGGCTGCCGTGCAACGTGTCGCGGGTTCGATTCCCGCACGGAACAACACTTTGTGTGATCTACAAATTGTTGTTTCGGGTCTGGGTGTCATTGTGTTTGTGAACTTGTATGTTTTTAAACGCACCCACGACACAGGAGAAAATCCTAATGTGGGGCAACGTTTTTTTTTTTAAAAATAAATATAATCTCAAATTCTACACCTATGATATGACTAGGAACTGTTGCAAAACTTAAAAAGGTAATATTTTTCTTAATATTTTTAAGTAGTAGACTGCCTCATTGGCCGTGTGGTCGCAAGTGCGACTGCCGGGCAAGGGGTCTCGAGTTCGATTGCCGGATCGGGCGAAGTATTATTGGGGTTTTTTAAAGAAATCTTAGTACTAGCACGAAGTCTGGAATTGTGCCCGATATATGGCATTAGTCTCACCCCCTATTACATGGGACTTATAACATAAATAGTGAAAAGTGGGTGTTACATTGTACTGTGGTAGAATGTGTACCTCTGACTACCCCTTCGGGGATAAAAAGCGTGATGTTGGAAGGATTTTGTATGCTTTCTTTTTATTTTATTTTAAATTAGTAAGTAGGTACTTATATTTAGTTTTAGCCCCAAAATATCGCAATGGAAAACACTATAATGATAGTTTTAGGTAAGGTTTTAAATAAATAAATAAAATCCCAAAGCAAACTTTTGCTTTAAGAAGTCATAATTAAAATGTTTGCATAGATTTCGTAATTAATTGCATTGTCACGTCCGACTATCTTAAAAAATGAAATTTCACATGTAGGTTCATGATAGTTAATATGTAGTTATAGGGTAGCACTAAAATGACCCATAACACAATGACAATGAGCAAAATGTATATACATAAGTAAATAGATGAAACAATTGGATAGATTCCAGGGTATCAACATTAAAAATGTAATTAGTCCGTCAGTTAGATAGTGAAAAAATATTAGACACGTATTTTTTATTTTGTCGTATAAGAAAACAATACTTACATAAAATGGCATTAAGTTTAGGAGTGGGAGGTCGTTACGTCATAACGTGCTACAAAATCTGGCACGCTGTGACGTTGCACGATATTTCAAATGAATATATCGTCGAAAGTATTTAATTTTGTGAGAAAATAAAAAATACGTGTCTAAAGTTTTAAAATAATGTACCAGACGGGCATTAAAATAAAATTTAGGAATGTAGCCTATTATTCTTTGAAGTATGATGTTCTTGAAAGTTTTTATACATTTAATAAATGAAGTGTATACTCACATTGCTTGCCAGGGTAGGGACGGTTGACGTAGACCGGGGAGATGTCTGTAAAGATAACATTATACGTTAGAAACTCTTGCTCAATAATTTGGCAATTGTATACGGGGCCATTCAAGTATTACGTAAGCACCATGGGGGGTGGGGGGTCTGTGTTTGGCTTATTTTGGATGATATGGGGGGTAAAGGAGTCTAGGTGATGATTCCGTCATTGATAGTTATTTACTTTTTTACACGAATGGCAACCCTCCCCTCATATTGAAATTATAAATTACAAGCAAAAACCGACAAAGAACTAGACATTATGGTATCTAAGAAAATATTAAAATTACAATATAAAAAAGATATAATCTAAAATGTTTGCGTAAGCAAAAGGGGAGGGGGTGGGATCTTTGCTTACTTTTGCTGACAAGGGGGATGGGGGGGGATAAATAATTGTAAATAATCTGCTTACGTAATATTTGAACGGCTCCTATTAATCAGTTTATTTAGTTGGAGCATTTTAAAATTTTGTCTTCAACTAAGATTATCGAGCCGTGGGTGCGTTTAAAAATGTATACGCATTGCTCCCAGAACTAGAACAATAAATCTGATCACATCAGAACCGGGAATCTAATCCATGCCCAACTGAATGATGATATACCTAACTGGTGACATGAAACAGGCTTTGTTCTTGTAACAGCTCTGTATTATGTAATACAGTAATCATTTTTTTAAGTACTGCCTGTTTTTATATGTACAGCACGACAGTCTGCGTGTCTAAGGAATCGAACCCTAGACATAGCTGTAATCTTGATTAACAAAGCTGTCGGTATTTTTATTGGTTTTAGTAGAACTATTGAAATATTCTTCTAAGGAGACTCACCAGGGCGTTCTGTAACAAAAACAAAAGAAAATTAATATATTTTGAAATCAATCAAAGGATTTCATAACATAACATCACGCCTTTTATCCTCAAAGGGGTAGGCAGAGGTGCACATTATACCACTGTACAATGTAACACCCACTTTTCCCTATTTATGTTATGAGTCCCATGTAATAGGGGGTGAGCCTATTGCCATATACTGGGCACAATTCCGGACTCCGTGTTACTACTGAGTTTTTTTTTAAAACCCAGTAATACTTTGCCCGCCCCGGGAATCGAACCCGAGAGCCCTTGCTCGGCAGCCGCACTTGCGACTAATTGGCCAACGAGGCCGGCAGTATTTTATAGTAGAACATATGGGAACTAGTAAAATAATTAAATTTAAATGAATTAAATGAATACTCACGAGGGTATGAAGGCTGGCCGAAGAATGGGTCAGCTGTAAATAAAAAATATTGTATATTAGTATCTACGTTTACTTTAAAATGAATTTAATCGACGCGACAAAATCTTATAATCATAAGTTCCACGCGCCCATATGAGCTCTACCGCAACTTGAAACTAGTCGAGCCATTCTCGAATAAACTAAAAAAGCGCTTTACTCCATCTTTAAATTTGATTTATCTTTTTTTGAAGGAGTTTAGCACATTTTGAGTCCAATTTTGTGAACGCATTTAAAGCCATAGAGCTTTGGGCGTCTTCTATAAATGTTTAATGATAAACATTATTACTATTTTATTATCTCACATTCACATCTTGGTTCGTATGGAAGTTGAATCTATATTGATCTCACCGCATGTTAACAATATTAGAAGCTATATTTTTCTTCAATATAAATAATTTAATTTATACTTACGGTTGGTGATCACAACTGTAACAAGAGATAAATAAAATTAGTATCAGAATGTTACATACTTCAAACATAATTATTACAATTATAGGAAAACATAAGTTGGACAACAGGGTAAAATTATATTTGATCCTAAAATGGTTATTTCAGTCTTTTAACAAATAAATAAAAGAGGATACGCGTTTTATAAATTCCTAAACCGTTACGCACAAGCACAATAGGGTAGTTTCCTAAATTTTATTTTAATGTCCGTCTGCTACATTAATTTTAAACTTTAGATACGTATGTTTATGTTTTTTAATTAAATATTTCGACGATATATTAATTTGAAATATCGTGTGACGTCACAGCATGCCACATTTTGTAGCACGTTATGACGTAACGACCTCCCACTCCTAAACTTAGCGCCATTTTATCTAAGTATTGCCACTTAATACGAGAAAATAAAAAAATACGTGTCTTATATTTTTAATTATCTAACTGACGGACTAATTAGATTTTTAATTTTGATACCCTGGAAACTACCCAATTGCGACTTTATATATAACACATAGACATGCTATTTACATTATAAAACTATGGTTTACATACAACAAGTATGTATTTGTTAGTAAACGTACCTTGGTCAGGGTTGCCATCTACGATATGCACTGAAAATATGAAACGGGATGGTTAGAAGCAAAGCCAGAACATAGCTGTCTATTGCTATGGTAATAGGTATTTTATTTAGAAGGTATTAAGGTCTGACATAAAATGCTCGGAAATGTGTAACCGTTTGTCATTGTTCTAATTTCAATCTTATGAGTCGGCGCAAATTAATGCCGCATTTATATGAAAGAATATCGAAAGGTAGGTAGGTACTCTATAATTTCGTTAGACTGGATAAAGAAATTTCTCCAATCACAATAATCAGTATTACCTCTATAGGGTTTTTAAAAAAAATCTCAGTAGTAGCACGGAGTCTGGAAATGTGCCCGGTGTATGGCAATAGGCTCACCCCCTATTACATGGGACTCATAACATAAATAGTGATAAGTGGGTGTTACTTCTGTGTGTACTGCCTACCCCTTTGGGGATAAAAGGCGTGATGTTATGTTAATCCAATAACAATAAAATTCACATTTAATTTATTGTAGAATCCCAAAAACAAACAATATTCTTCTAGTTCGGTTATTCCCAATTAGAGATAATCTTAAAAGAAGTTCAAAAGCTGAGGATATTTAAAAAATTTTAGCCCTATTTTGCATTTTTTGTTAGACCTTAATATCTTAGTAAAGCATTTGCTCACCGGCAGACGGGTCGTTGGGGTTGTTGTTCACAAAGTTCACTAGAATAAATAAAGCGGACAATTAACACATAGCAAAGCATTTTTACATAGACAGACAGACAGATAGACAGTAGACAGTGAGAGAGAACAACGCAAAATGTAGGAAGATGGTTCATTGTTTCGTAATAAAATACTTCTATCTATTTATTATTTAATCGAATACAGAAGAAAAAGGAAAAGAAGTTCAATTAATTTAAATGCTCACCGCCAGAAGGATTATTGGCATTGTTGTTGACAAAGTTCACTAAAAATAATAATTTTAAAATTTAATAAAATAATTGTCAACGTATTTTGTAATTAAAAAAATATATTTTTAATTAAAATGTATCTCACCGCCGCTTGGGTTATTCGGGTTGTTGTTGACAAAGTTCACTAAAAATAATAATTGACTATTATGAGCAAAAAAAAACTAAAATTTTAATTTATTATTCATTTACATTTAAGTAGTAATTTGCTCACCACCGGATGGATTATTGGGGTCGTTGTTGACAAAGTTAACTAGAAATAAAGAAATAATAATTGAAATTATTATGAGCAAAGAAATTAAAAATTTAATTTATAATTAACTAAGTAATTATCTCACCGCCACTTGGGTTATTCGGGTCGTTGTTGACAAAGTTGACTAAAAATAAAATTAACGAAAATGAGTAAAGAGAGAAAAATTATTTCGATAAAGAAAATAATGTTAGTATTAATAATTATGTTAGTTTTTTACGGCATTCATTCCGAAATAGGTTTACAGACAAAAATAGAAATCCCTAAAACATTATTTAATGGAATAAACCATTAAAATGTACTGAGATGTAACCAAATAATAACTATAATGTGATGCTCACCTTGACCCGGGTTGTTGTCATATGGGTTGTTGACAAAATTCACTAAAATAATATGACCCAGATGAGTAAAGCGTGTTGATGATACCCGGATAGACAAATATTTTTATATAAGGTCCTATTGAATTAAATAGGGATCAATGATGACTTTTTTGGGAATTCTAAGGTCAATTAACTAAAATCACGGGTTACAAAGTCACAGCACACAGTGAGCTGCGGGACGTCACCGCGACTGCGCACGCTGCTCATGAGGAAGAACCCCTCTGTGGTTCGAAACTAGTAGAGCTTTTCTCACTATATTCACGTGAGTAACCCGTGATTTTAGTTTATTTAGTATGTCTTACAATAGTCATTATAAAAACAAAAATTCTAAGGTCGTAAAGATAAGTGAACAAGAAGTTTCAGGGTTGATTTTTAAATTGGGCAAAATATTATTGGGTTTTCAATATTCGAAATTCTCAGTAAATAGTTGCATTGGAAGTTTGAGTTCGTTTTCCTTTTTATCATTATAAAATCAGTTCCTATTAGACGGGAGTCTTATATTTTGTTTACTTTGAAGTATTTCCAGATATCTATAGTAAATAGGACCTTATATAAAATACTCAATGACGTGCTCACCCCCGCCCGGGTTGTTGTTGTCCACAAATTGCACTGCAAATAATAATTATGACCAATATGAGCCAAGCATTGCATGACGCGACGGTACAGCACAAGCGCAAGCATTCAAAAGCGAGCATTCTGAGCAATTTTGCTCGAGCATGACAACTTTTTAATTAAGTGAGCATTCTTAATTTTTCTTTTTTAGTTATTGCGTTATAGAATACGTTGTTTTTTGTCTGTTATCTTTAGAAAAACCCAGTAAGGATTTAGTGACGGTTTTATCGCATTTTACGAATAAATTGATTAATAGATTTGGCAATTCCCAATGCTCATTAAATACAAACTAGGTAACGTTTAATTACATTTGTTTGAACTTCGAAGTATTTATAAAAATATTGCCTAATTTTTCTTAAGATTTATTCACTTTTGAATGACTGTTTCCCTACAGTAAATGACGAGCAGACGTCAGCACAAGCTACCTTAAACTCTCAAAAATCTTTACTGGATTCTCAACTTTATTATTTTGTAATAAAGTTAATATTTCCAATAGTTAATAAATACATTAACGTTCTCACCAGGTGTCGGTCTGTTATTGCCCCAAAACCTGCCTGAAAATAATATTATAACCGATGTAAACAAGCAATTAAGGAGTGCAAAAATTTGCTATTGTGCTGTTTTCGAACTAAAAATGTATAGTGCGTTTGTGATTGGTAGTAGCCTATATAGCCCAGCTGATCAATCTATCATTTTAATAGAATTTCAACAGTATTTAAATATGTATAAAGTTGAAATTTTATCAATTAGCTTAACCCGCCTAGCGTCTGTGCATAATCCTAAAATATAAGTGTTGTGTGCAAAATGACTAAATTGTGTTGATGTGCATACGTGCAATTTGTATCCCACAGTTTATTGTTAATGCTCACCAAGTTAGAGACAGTATTGCAATGTTAATATTAGTTAATTGTTAGTGTAAATGATGACATCAACAGTCTTAGCCAATATGACTATCTGTATTCGTTAACATATTTTTTTCTTATTTTTTTATTTGTATGCCTTTTAAGGGTGGAATAAGGATCCCAGAATGTATGATCACCTCCATTATCCTTGAATTAAAAAGTTGAATCAAACGAAACTAATACCCAAGTGAAACCGGGGCGTGTAGGTATTTTTCTATATTATTTTAACGATTTATGGATAGTTATCTTGGCTAAATCTGCTGTTAGCTGTTTTATTGACATAAAGCTTACCTTGACCAGGGTTTGCATTGTCCACGAAGTGAACTGTAAGTAATATAATAAGACGTTTTATCGGCCGAAATGTATCAGATCTCAATTCAAAACCAGAGTTCTTGAAAGGTCTCAGTTTACAGCAGAAACTCTATCACAAATGGATCTTATAATCTAAAGATGTTGGATTGAAATGGGATCTCAATTTCGGCTGTGATTTATTTGATTGTTAGCTAATTTAGGAAAAATTGACTATGAAATCTGCCGCAAAAATCTTGCGCAAAATAGATTTCTCAATTCGAGTCTTTGGAAAGGGATTATTGGTAATTAACACGTTAAACGCCATGGGGGTCACCGGTGACCGGCGTTATTGCCTTCAACAGTTTTTTATTGACAGTGAAAGTCTTAATATTATATTGGTAAATAAATAATATTGGTAATAAACAGTAAATAAAGGTTAGCACAATATTTGTTAAAATCTTACCTTGTTCAGGGTTGTTGTGTTTTCCTGAAAATGAACAAAAAGCACACATAAAGTAAGTTAAGCGTGTTTCATCTTACTGATGAAATTGTTATGTTAATTACAACACACAGAAAACATTTCGTTAAACAAAACATACATAATTGTTAGACATTCTCTTCAGATATATGTACTTTATCTTTTCTTTGTTAGTTATATGGTAACATACAGTTTTACAAGAGGTTAATAACAAATATGTGAGACATCCAAAAGTGTGAAGTTTAATTTTCTGTTGTACTGTGTTTATGTATATTATGATGCTACATTTACACTCTCGCTCGAGTCCAGACGAGGTGGACATACATTGTCGATATTATAAAAGAGTTGTAGTCCTTCTCGTATTATAAGACTGCAATGTACCTCAATCTAAACTTTATGTCCGCTCGCACAAGTGTACATGTAGCATCGGCTTGTATGTATGTATGTTATGTAGGTATCTACACGTGTATCTGCTAGTTTTTTACTAAATATTGTTCAGTAACTAGTTATAAAGAATAATAATCTATAGAGAATATTAATAATAATAGAGCATTAAAAAATAGTTCTTGCTCGTTCCGCTTTTGAAGTTTAGAATGAGCATTAATAATAATAATAATTTGAGCAATTAATAGATTGTTTCTCCAGATATTAATTTTTTTTATTTAAAAATTATATACAGTGTGTTTGAGATAATCATTTTTATATAATTTTTTGAGTATTATATATCAAGATACGTACCTCTCTGAGCCGAAGCCATGGCGAAGAGCGCCAGTACGAAGAAAAGCTGAAACACGTAAAATACCTTCATTTTTACCACTGTATAACTTGAAATTCAGTTCAAGACTGACTCAGTACACAAAAACATGTCCGAATATTGACACATACAAGTCATTGATAGGTTATCTGTCTGATTAGATAACCACGTATACAGTGAAGTGATTTTTCTAGGTCTTTCCGAATTTTCATGTAATTAGTAAAGTTTTAATTGCAACTGAATTTGTTTTAATGTCGTCATGTTTGGATTAAATTATTAATCTTGATTACATGTGTATGTGTCTTGTTTTATGAATTTATTTATCTCTTTGTTTCCGCGAATAGTAAGGATACAAGTCAGTCGAATAAAACATACGTATAGTCCTATATGTATATTATTATAGACGTTTGATTTACTGTATAAAATAATATACCTATGTGTGTCAAAATAGTGTCATATAAAATACAAATATATAATTATGTTATCTAAGATATACAATATTCTGTTCCTTATTAATTAAATTGGGAATGTCATCAATCTAGGAAGATTAAGTACCTACCTAATTAAGGAAAATTAATTACCTAATCTATTTTATCTTTTGTAATTCTCGAAATATATGGATGTCAAATTACTTAACATTTAGTTAGTTTAGTTATTTTACGACTCTTATTCTATGTTTCTTAAATAATATCTAAGTAGTCCGACTTTTTCCTATTTACATATTTGAATAATAATATAATTTTCGATTTCGATATAAAATAAAATCACGAGTGAACAAAATACCAAAGGAATGAAATCACGTGTTTAACCGGACAAACATACTTTAAATATATAATTATGTATGTACACATGAATATTTTAGCACTTAGACAAACAAAATTATGGTTATTAGGCGACGACGGGGAAAAATATATAAAAAACATGATGTCAAGGACGTTGAAATAAAAATTAAATAAGACCAGTTCCTTATATTTACCTAATTCGGTTATCATACAACCTTTTAGCAAATCGTATTAATCACATAACACACATAACATCACCCATTTTATCCCCTAAGGGGTAGGCAGAGGTGTAGTGCAGTAATAGGGGGTGAGCCTATTGCCATATATCGGGCACAATTCCAAACTCCGTGCTACTACTGAGAATATTTAAAAAAAAACCAGTAATACTTTGCCTGACCCTGGAATCGAACCCGAGACCCCTTGCCCGGCAGCCGCACTTACGACCATTCGGCCGAATGGTCGTAAGTGCGACTTGCGAGTTGGATTGCAGTGGTATCAATCGACTGGCAATTATAAGGTCTGGTTATCGAGTAGCAAAGTAGTATTTTCTGTCTATCTTAGACTAAGACATGAATTGGATGAAAATGAAAAAGTGTGGCAGAGCCATGCTTCGGCGCGAATGGGCCGGCTTGAGCTGATGATATCACGGCCTCACAGAAAACCGACGTGAAACACGCTTGCGTTGTGTTTCGTCGTGTGAGTGAGGTTACCGGAGGCCCAATTACCCCCCTCCCTAGTCTACCGAATCCCCGAATCCTCCACAATTCTCAAATTCCCAATTGCCAAAAGGCCGGTAACGCACTTGTAACGCATTAGTGTTTCGGGTGTAGATTGCTTACCACCAGGTGATCAGTCTGGTCGTTTACCGGCTTATGCTATAAAAAAAATCGTCCTGGAAGGTTTAAACAATACATGCGTAATATTTTTTTAACACCGCTTAATCAAAATGGCGATAATTAAGTAAGCACGTATTGACCTCTGTCTACCCATTCTGAGAATAGAAGGCGCAATGTTATTGTATGTAAACACGTATATACTTAAACATAGCCTTCGTTTAGTCTGTATGTATGTTTGTTCAGTTACGTCATAATTTGATTACCCGCTCAACCATTGTTTGACCACAATAGATTTATTTTTATTTAGACTCAGTTTCGGTGTTCTTTGAATTACATTTTTAGCGTGTTTTCGTGTTGTTATCTATGTAAACAGTATATGTAGATAATGTTTAAATAACAAATGATTTTGTGGTTGATTTTGATCATGTTCAAACTAAAATTCCTTTTTTGTGGTTCCGCCTGCGTGTTTAAAAGATTTATCTCAAGTGATTCTCAAGTCTAGACTGTCTATTAAACAACAGATACAAATACTCAACTACAATATAACACCCAGTTCTTATCAGTTATGAATTGAGGTTTATGTGAGATCGTATTATGATACACCGAGCCCAATACCAGACTATTAAGGTTTTCAGAAAACCCGATACTCTTCCTAACCCCGAACTAGACCCCCACTTGCAAAGCAGTCGCACTTACGACCACTGGAAGAACGAACGTGACAAATATAACGTCAACACAATATAAATGGGAATAAAATTTATTTTTAATAACGTCAACATAACATGCTTAGGTATGTAAGAATAGGTCCATTATCAAAAATAAATTATTTAGACTATTCAATACCTACCAGGAAATATTAAAAAATAACCACAATTTCATTAATAGATTTTGTGACTAATTTAATTTTAATAAGTTACTAGCAAATTTTTAATAAATAAGTATGCTGTTTGACGCTAAAAAACGTGACGTCACAATCTTGTACAAAATTCATAGGAAACTGTCGTTATTGACAGTTCGAAAAAAGTATTAAATTTTACTAGTTGGCAAGTAATTTCTAAACACATTACATTTAGATGCATTGCAAGATGTCAGATGAATGCGCGGTTCACCATGTTCCACCAATCAAGGCATGGAATGATCTTATAACAACAAAATCAATTTACCTTACTCTCAGTAACTAAGTACAAAATCCTGTTCAGATATAATTAATTACAGATAGACAATTATAATGAATGTATGACTATTTACACAAGCTAAACAAACAATGTCGTGTCACTGAATGGTTTCTGCGTACAATCTCAATTATAAAATACTTAAAGGTATTATCGTATCCGTAATCTTTATTTCAGTTTTTATTAATGAGGTGACTGGACCAATCATTTTGTGTCGCGTCTTTTGTTATATTATTGGATTGATAGTACAAGGAAATAATAATAACAAAGCATTATTTTATTAACAAACGATAGAAACAGGAAATTATTTTTTTAAGGGGGAAATCATCGAATGACTGCTCCCGCCTGGGTGAGACGGGAGGGAGTGTCAGACTCTTACTGACTAAAAACCACCCCGTTCCTTCTCCTGCGCTTCGAGCGTTAGGTTCTCCGCGATAACAGGAAATTATAGGATTGCTATAGAGCACTCTTCTAATAGTAGAAGAGTGGTCATAAATACATCTGGGTTTGATTCTCTGGTTGAATACATTGTGTGTCGTGCGGTTGCTCGCCTGCTCGGAGGTTAAGACGCCCGCTTCTCTCGTATGAGGGTGCGGGTTCGAAACCTACCAACGGCAAGTACCAATATGACTTTTCTAGTTAAGTTAAGTTATATTATGTACTTTCTAAGATAATTTAGACACCACGTGAGGAAACCTGTACTTATAATTTCTAATTATAAGTTTGAAATCGCCAACCCGCATTGAGCAAGCGTGGTGATTAATGCTCAAACCTTCTCCGTGTGAGAAGAGGCTTTGCTCAGCAGTGGGCATTTATAGGCTGTTGATGATGATGATGATATATTGTATACCTACTAAGAACGAATAGGGCTGTTCTATTAGTAGACTGATTATACGATTGGGTTCAGGTCGGGCAATATGTTACTGGAGATTTTTCAGAAGTTAAGTAAGCTATGTATGATATATTACAAACTAGCGACCCGCCAGGCTTCACACGGCTTCACACGGGTGCAATATGCATGTATTATACTATACATATAAAACTTCCTTAAAAATCACTCTATACCTATCTATTAAAAAAAGCCGCATCAAAATCCGTTGCGTAGTTTTAAAGAGATAAGCATACATAGGGACAGACAGATGGTAGATAGCGACTTTATTTTGTACTATGTAGTGAAGTATAGGACTTATGTATAAAATAATTGCTGATAAGTGATAAGTGTTACATTTCTATGTGCACCTCTGATTACCCCTTTAAGCAACAAAAGCTATGTTATTTGTTTTATTTTAATAAAAGCATCTTTGTTTGATCTTAGGTTATCATGTTCGTGTATTTCTAATTATAAATGTACTGTTATCAATGGTCAGTTTTGTATTGTGATAACTTCAGTTTTAGTTTACTGAAAGTAAAGGATTTTATCGTATTTTTAGAACTTCGTGTTTTTTTAATTACACTTATTACACAATGTAACATCCATTTTTCAGTTTAAAATCGAATGTTTAACCGAAAGCTCTAATTGCCATACTTTACCCAACCCAGGAATCAAACTCGAAACCCCTAAATTGGCAGTCATACATGCGACCACTTAACAACGACACAGTGTTTTTTTCTGTAGTTGTTACAAAAAAGCTAAAATCTAATATTTTGCTGTTTTATCGAACTCAATAGGTACATTTTACTTGGCTCGTGATCGCCAGTTAGCTACCTATAGGATTACCTACTTGTCTGTGTGAGTGAACTATAAGTAAACATCTATTCATAAGATAATCACTGCGAAAATTAGAGGTCATGGGAACTTTGTTACTTCCATCCTGTTTGTTTCCGACACATGTTGTAGTAGATTTAAGTAGGTACTAAGTAATGAACAAAAAATAGTAGTACCTATTTTAGATTGTGTAGGTACTTATTTATTTATAGGTACGGAAATAAAGAACATAGGTTTTAACCAAGACAACACTTCTTTCTATTTAAAAAAACGAATTCGGACAACGCAAGCGTTGTTTTACGTTGGTTTTTGAGGCCGATATCACTCCGGTCAAGCCTGCCAATTTGTACCGAAACATGACTTTCCCACACTTAAATGACATTAAATCATCTCTTATGTGGATGGATATGTATTAGTAAGCATACCTTTTGTATTTTAAAATAAAATGTTTTCATTTCCTTTGATAAAATGAGACATTATTTTATCAAAATCATCGGGATTTTATCTCTGTTAGTTTGATCATAACATCATTTTGTTTTGTCTGATAACAAGACATTGT